TTGTGTACGTGTTGACTCGCCTTCGACTACACACAGTTGAATCATTCAGAGTCATGCCGGGAGTCATGTTGATGTAACTAACACATATTTATTTTCACAAACACATCCAAACCGACTCACGAGTCAGACGCCCCGCGTATGCCGCCTATAACATCAAAAGCAAATCACGAAAATTTTGATAAGAATTACAGTCCACACTTTCTTCTTTTGTGTCTAGTAGTTTTTTTTTAAGATTGTTCCAAAAAAATCATAAAAAAGAAAGAAGCCAAAGCAGGTATTTAAAGCACAGAAAAACAAAATATTATTAAAAGGACTATGTTCTCTTTGACGTACGTCAAAGGTCAAGTAGAAGTGGGGACTTTTATAGCTGCCCATTGATAGTTCGGTTGTATAGCTTAAGAAACAATATTTTAAAGACATTTTTATCAAAGTTGATAAATAAGACATTTGACAAGTTTTGTTACACAAATACTCCTACGACCACAGGCAAAAAAAAATTGGCTACAATATGTACTTTTTTTTTGCCATATATACGTTTTATCGGTCCACTTGTAAAATATTCGCATTCGCAAAAGCTCCGCATTGATTATAGCGAATGCGAATGTTAAAATTAATGCGGAAGCTCCGCAGTTGCGAATGCGAATGCGAATATTCTCAACAACCCTGGTTCTCATCCGTGAGTCCATAGAGATGCCTTGTGACGGACCAAGGAGGAGGCACTACTTCAAGCAATTGTCTGTTCGGATGCTCTCTGTGGTAGCTATGAGGTTTGATCTCCAAAAATTACGAACAAATATCGACCAATTCATAGTGGGAAATTTTTGGAGGTTTTGTTAAAAAATGCTGCAAAGTCAATTTTCGACAAATCCGTATATATATTGTTTAAATACTTCCGACGGATTTTAGAAAAGATTGTCTAAGCCCGGATTCAAAAAAGGAAATTGTTTTTGTATGCATATGGGGAAAATCGGAAAACTAAAAAAAAACATCTAACGAAATGTAAAAATTTTTCCTGGTGACAAATTCAGATTTTAATAAGGTTATTCTAAAGCTGAGATCCCACGATTGCCGCAATACACCAATTATTGCCTCATTTTATGCCCCAATCGTGTGATTCCACAATAAATTGACTCATGCGTCAATAGAGGCCGATATTGTGCTTACAATGCCCAATCAAATACAACTCACTTGCGGCAATCGTGTGATAGCTCGATTGGCAATCATGGGGCAATGAAAATTTCAAAATTGCGGCAATATTTATTGTGTTCTTGTGCGGCAATTGAAGTGAGCAATACACAACAATATTTAGGCTGTTTATTAATAATTTACTTTTTTGCTCCGTATGTGTCCAAAAATCACTGAAATCAATATCCTTGTTTTCGGAAGCAACATAACTATTAATTTTGTTTAATTTGTATTCAAATTATAATTTTTCTTGAAGTCCGATGACGGAATCTTTGCTGCGATATACATCACCACAAGCAAAACTCATACGAGAAGAATACGAAAGGTATTTTATGTCGCCAATTGGCGGACTGGCATGACAGTATAAATTTATTTAAAAAAAAACTTAAAAGTTCAATACAGCCCACGACGAAATGGTAGAACCTCAACATTTTGACCAGTTTTATTTCAATTTCAATTTCAATTTAGTGTTCATTATTTTTCTATAGAAGTATAGCTCATTGTGTAACAAAAACCGCATAAATTGCAAGCTTTATACAAAAATTTTAAAAATTTCTTAAATTTTTTAACACAATTGCACGGTTTTTAATTTCGATTTCTAGAAAAAAAAATTGTTATTCGGTTTTATAGCTCATTAAAATTTAGTACAACAAGGTGCAAGTTTGAAGTTGCTAAAAAATCCTGTCGATTTTTTATAATTTTTTTAGCTGGCGGTATTATGCACTTTCTTCTATGCAAATTACTTTGTAAACTGCATAACAATTTTTTTTCTAGAAATCCAAATTAAAAACCATTGAATTGTTATAAAAAGTTTAAGAAATGTTTCTAATTGTTGTTTAAAGTTTGAAATTTTTATTTATGTGGTTTTTACTAAACAACGAGCTATGGATTTATAGAAAAAATTAACATTAAACAAACAGAAGAAAAAAGTCAATATTGATTAAAATGTTCAGGTGTTATCTTTTGTTGCGAGCTGTACATATAATTATAAAATTTCATTCCAAACATAAATTATATAAATTCAGAGCTTTCATTTCAACATACATAATTATTTTGTACCATTTTACTTGTAATTAATAAAAAAGCCAAAATTAAAAAGAAAACCAAAATTAAAAAGAAAACTCTTGTAACTTGAACTCCACATATATATCACGTTGTAGTTATCGTCGAGAAATAAAAAAAACTGTACTATCAAACTTCTAAATAAATGCGTCAGTATTCATTGGACTCAAGTGTTTGCTTCTTTGCTTTCAAACAACAAATATGCATAAAATGAGCCCACAATATATAAATTAGATGCAATTTACTTTTTTTAAGAATACGCCATTTTTACTCAACAAAGAACAAAACAGAATTTAGAAGTCAGCGCAACATCTTATTGTCACGATTGCCGCATGCTAGAACAATCGTGTGATAAGTTTGGGGCAATTATTGTCACTATATTGCTTTTCACCAACTTGCGGCAATCAAAATTCTATAAAAAGAGGCAACCGTGTGACTGTACAGAATTTGATTGGGACAATTTTTTTATTGTGCTCCAATACAGCACAATAAAAATTGTTCCAGATTGGTGATTTGCGGTAATCGTGTGATCTCAGCTTAACGATTTGGTTACAAAAATTTGTCACCTTAAATTTATTAAAATTTTGTATCCAATACTTGTACCGGGTATTCTTGCAACTTTCACTTTGTGGTGAAAGCGAAATTATTGGCAGCACTATTGCCATCTGATTACTAAAATAATGAATTTGGCAAAGGAAAAATGGAAACCCAGAGCGAGAAAAGTAAGTATATTTTCGCTTTTTGATATAACTATTTATTATGATTTATGCATATAACTAAATTTATTAAAGGTAAAAGTGCAGAATACGTAGGGACCTTAGCCCTGACCATAACGGTATAATTCTTTTGAGGATATAATAATTATTGGTGTTATTGAAATTCAAAGTGTCAATTTTTCAAATTTTACTTATTTTAATTGATAATAGTAGTTCACTTTAGCGGAACCAGCTCACTCACTCACGCACTCACAACTCTCCTAAAAAGTCAGGAAGAGAATCAATCGACGAGTTTTAACGCTAATAATAATAATCCGAAAGCGGAAATTAACTTTTTTAATTCATTCGAAAGTGTGCGCAAATATACTTCCGCCTCTCTTTTCCGGCAACTCAGAAAGCAGAATTCTGCTTAGTAATAGCCCGAAAACAATGAAAACGACGAGCTACATACGAACTGAATTTTAAAAATCCAATTCAACTTGAATTAAGGGAACTAAGTAAATAATTGAAATATGTTTTCATAATTGGCTGTCAAGCGAAAGAGGTTTAGGAAGATTGTAGTTAGAAAATATTTTGAAGTTATATAAAATATTAAAAATAATGATCGTTTGTTTGAACGCTTAGAATATTTTGGGGTTTTAAAAGGGTTGCAATCTGTTAAAATGTTAAATCCAGTTCAAATTATTTATTAAGTTAAGAACTATTCCAATATGTTTATCAATGGAAATGGGTTTGACAAGCGTTTATTTCTAAATGACATTTAGTAGGGTTGCCAACTGTACTAAAAAATCAAATCCAGCTTGTATTGAGGAAATTAGGTAATTGAAATATCTATCACAATATGCGGTCAGTCAAGAAGTTAAGAAGGTTGTTGTTTAAAAATATTTTGAAGATGGTTGCCACCACTTTAAAAGTGGAATTTAGTTAACTTATGCACAAATTATATGATGTATTAAAATGTGTGTCAAATGGAAGTGTTAAAAAATCTTGTTTGAATACTAGAGTGTTTTTGAGGTATATGAAGAGGGTTGCCATCTATTTAAGAACTCATTAAAATTATTTAATAAATCAAATGAATTCTTACAATATGAGTATCAATATAAATGATTTAAAAAGGCCTCATTTCTAAACTACAAGTACGCAGGTTACCACCTGTTTAAAAAGGCAAAATCAACTTGAATTAAGGGAATTAATAATAATAATAATAATAACGATGGGACGACATGCTGGAGGCCTTGGAACGGTCATTCAAAGTTCCAACATACTTGCTAGATATTATTCGGGACTACCTCAGAGACCGTTGGCTTTTGTACGGCACGACACAAGGTTAGAGAAAAAGATGTATAGCCGGCGGAGCGGCACAGGGGTCTGTACTTGGCCCGGACATCTGGAACGCCTTACATGACAGTCTGCTGCTCACTGAAATGCCGGAGAGCGCCTTCCTTGTCGCTTTCGCCGACGACGTGGCCGCCATCATAACAGCAAGAAACATCCAGCTAGCGCAGCCCAAGCTGAACCAGGTAATGCGCAGCGTCAGTGGATGGATGAGCGGTCACGGTCTGCAATTGGCTACAGCCAAAACAGAGATCGTGCTTTTCACCAAGAAATGGACAGTTATAAACATGATTGTCGGACCTCAGCCAATGATAACTTCTAGGGCTACAAAATACCTAGGGGTGCAGCGTGACAACCAACTCACATTCTGGGAACACATTCATGGAGTATGTGAAAAAGCTGCGCAGAGCGCGGTGGCTCTAAGCCGGCTGATGGCGAAATATGGGCCGACGCATCGAAAGTCAAAAAAAACCGGATTCAAATGTCTTCGGTCCAGCGCAGAGGCTACTACGCATTGCTTCTGCATACCGTACAGTGTCCGCGGACGCGGTTCTAGTTATTTCTGGCGCCATGCCAATTGAGCTACTTGCTTACGAGCGAAAAGAGATTTACAATCTCGGTGCCGAGATAGGCCGTGCAGCTGCCGCGGCAAGGACACGCGAGCAACTAATCCAGCAGTGGCAACAAAACTGGAACGCGAGCACAAAATGTCGATGGACGCACACCCTGATAGCCGACCTTTAAACATGGTTGAAAAGACCGCACGGGGAAGTTGATTCCTACCTGACGCAATTCCTCACCCGTCATGGTTACTTACTGGGCAGGGTAGACTCACCGTTCTGTAACAACTGTGGAAACGTCGAAGATAACGTACATTATACATTCTTCCCTTGCGAGCACTTTTTGACTTCGCGCAGAATGTTGTAAGAAAGATACGGAGACATAACCCCGAACAACGTAATTAGTGTAAAGATCTCCAGTGCAGACAAGTGAGAAGCAGTTGCCAGATACGTGAAATTCGTACTCCGCTGCAAACGAGAAGATGGATGTCTACTGAGGACACCCGAATGAAACGCCCCTACAAAAGAGCAGCCCTGAGGCTCTAGTAGCGCGCTCCTGCTTCTGACGACATGCAGAATTGCGGCGCCAGATGCGGGATTCTTGCGCGGGCGGTGGGGGACTGGGTTTTAGTGGGTAGCCTAACATGCTTCGGTGCATAATAATAATAATAATAATAATAATAATGTGAGAATCTCCTATGTTTTTGGCTAAGTTTAAATATTTGAGTGTTATTGAAAAAAATTACACTTTACTTTACGCGCATAAGTTTCATATTCTTAGTGAAGGGGATGAGAACAAACTAGTACAACATAAGGGAGCCATAAACAAATCCAGCATTCTTATTTTCTATGATATTTGTTTTTTTTATTCCGTCGAACTAGTACTCTCGCTATGTTGCAGTCTACCATTCTTGCTGCATTTTTTACGGCTTTCATTTATATTTAGTGAAATTATAAAAATAATACTAATTTCTGAAAAAAATTCACGGGTATGAAAAATAAAGCTGTATATTGACCGCTGAGTGGATGATCGACCATTCTCGGCAGCCGATTCAAAAACGCCCTATTTGAGACAGAAGTTTTCAAGAACGCCCGATTTCAGAATTTGGTCGAAGAACGCCCCATCTCCGAGTTCGATTCAAAAACCCCCTATTTTAATATTTTTTCAATATGTTTTCAGATGTGATCGGGCATTTTTGAACCAAATTCCGAGGTAGAGCGTTCTTCAAACAAATTCTGAAGTAGCACGTTTTTGAGCCATTTTCTGAGATAGGGCGTTTTCGAACCGGGTACCGAGATAGGTCGATCTTCCACTCAGCCGTCGATATACATACTCCCCGGGAGTATTCAGAATTGGGCTGTTTATGTCCCAGCTTTACGAGTTACGGAAGATGGACCCTGCAGTCCACCCGTCCTTAAAAGTGTTAAAAGTATTTTTATTTTTTTAATATTATATAATACGGTATGCTTCACTGCACATGAGGAAGTCTCAGCTTTGCAAGTTACGGTAGATGAAGCGTACAGTCAGCAATTTCGCAGCGATATTTCTCCATCCAAATCACCCATTGAGGCAACACCATCCAGAACGAACAACAAATAGTGGTGTTGTGTTAAAACATATTAGGAAGCGAGAAGAGTACGACGACCGTATGTTTAAGCAGAAAACAAGGAATAATGACGCTCTACCTAAATTGGAGAAGAATGTTTGACTCTTGCTGAAGCTATAAAAAGCCTTGAGCTGATGCCAGGTAAAACGCTTGCTTCGCTTTACGTGACAGATTCGCTTTGACAGAAAAGATAAATACATGCAATAATACTAAGATTCCCACATAAGCAACGCTGACGCCAAAGCGACGCCGAAAGCTCGCCAACTCTCATCTTTTCGCGCGCGTTGAGCGTCAGCTGATTTTTATTTTCCTTTTATTCTTCACATTCGCTTGAGACGGACGCGATAAATTTTTAATTTTTTTCAAAAAAGCAAGGTAAATGTAAAATTTTACTAAAACAAATCCTTAGTAATTAGGTTTTTAACCTTTCAGCAAAGGATGGAGGAGAAACTAATTGAGGCCATCAAAATGCAGCCATGCCTGTTCGACAAAAGTTCCAACTTATTCCGGAATAAGTATCTGAAGGAATGGGCATGGCAGGCAGTTGCGGCTTCCGTAGGAGTTTCTGGTAAGTAGCTGCTATTTCTGTGTATATTTGTATATATGTAAATATATGAGTGATTATTTACTAAGCTTTTTTCTTCAATAATAGAGGAACACTGCAGAAATAGATGGAAGTCGCTCCGGGACAGATTTGTACGGGAGGTGGCAGCCAATCGGCCAAAATCCGGAGACGCTGCCAATTACAAGCCGGAATGGTGCTTTATGGACGCTATGCGCTTCCTAACAAAGCACATAGCTCCTAGAAGGTAAACTACTCAGAAATACATACTGATGATCCCCGGCAATAACGACAGAATTCAAAAAATTAAAACCCTTACTACATACTTTTAAGTGGCTCATGACTCTAATCCCTAACACTTACTTTAGTAATCCATAATTTTTTAAGGAGTAGACAAGGATTAGAGACATGCAATACATGCATATGTATGTAAATGTATATTGTTATACCCGAGCGCACTTGTGCACAAGGGTATTATAACTTTTTTTAATAATACAATATAAGAAGTTTATAAATATGAATGCTTATGATATGTTACACTAGTGAACAAACAATTTATGCATTAATTATTTTTGACCAGTGTAAATACATAGGCATACAAATTTACATTACTATATGCTTTATTATAATTTTCTTTACAGAACAATCTCAAACTTGGATTTTGACGATGATCAACCCTCAAGCAGTAACTCCCCACAAATACCACACAGCAAAAGTGGCGAAATGATGGAGGAAATGGTCGAGTTTGTGGAAGAGGCGCCCATTACCGGTGCAATCACTCCAGCAGGAAGGAAGCGCAAGCGGGTGGAAGAATCGCACGAACGATTTGATCGTCTGTGTGGCAGTATTGAGGCCGTAATTGCGAGCAAAGCCCGCTACACCGATTCTGATAACAGCGCCTTCCTGCAAATGCTAGACGAGTGCCTCAAGAAAAAGCCCGATCACGTGCGTGAACGGCTAAAAATTGAATTGCTAACGCATGCATATAATGCAAGCTAAAACTGATAATTTTTTCCTAATTTAATTAATTTTTTTATGAATTATGTTTAATTTTAGTATATCTTGACATATCGATGGTCCTTACTACTGTTAAGTGGCTCATGACTCAAATCCATGTCGAATCCATGTACTTACTTTAGCAATCCTTAAGGCTCCGTTATGCATACTTGGCATGGCTTGAGAGCTGTCACATAAGAAATCTGTTAAATGTGCTTCGCGTGTAATCGGTTATCGAACGCACAGCATTACATACGTAGAAGTCTGTTGGTTTTTGATTTCTACGTAAAAATGGTATAGCAGTGCATGCAATGCCAAGTATGCATAACAGAGCCTTTACTGCTTACCTTAGTAAGGATTGCAAATGGACAAGAG